CTTTAAAATGTTCAACAAATGGTGCAACATCAAACAGCTTTCCTTTTGTGAAATGACTTAAAGCTTCAGTGTGAAGGATTTACTGGTGTCCAGCAGTGCGGCTGCATATTATAACCAACTGAGTACCTCTCACTAACCCCCAAGTGTGTATGGGGAAAACTACTGTGGCCTTCAGGTACCACAAAAACACATAAGGCCCTCTATAGTGCCAGAGTTTGGTTTGTCCTTTCTGTGCGACTGTAGACACGTGGCAGTGAAACATGGGGGACTCTGTGAAAGAGGACTTGCTCCTGATGTAGATATAAAGGGCTCATTTTAAGGTAATAAAAACACAATCATTCTTATTGTGATTTTACTCTAATGAAAACACAAATTTCATTTTTGCTGATAGATCCCCATGAATCCTACACACTGGAGCTTTCAACATTTCAAGTGATCCAGTAGTGACACAGGACTTTAAAGTAAAATGTTACCAAAGGTGTGTATTTGAAAAAAAGAAATTCTCATTATGCAACATTTAATTTGAAAAACTTCACTTTTACTTTTTCTTGTACTCAGATGGACATTTCTACACATTACTTGTCTGCCTTGTTTCATATCTGTGCTAAGAGATAGAACATTGCAAAACGTAAGCACTGCCCAGCACCTCTAAGAGGTGACACCTAGCACTGAGCAAACGTCCAAATGAAGGGCCACACCAGTGCTGATTTACATTCTTACTGACCATTTTCCAAAGCATGCTGCAGTGGTTCTCAGTTGATTTCATTCATTTCACTTAGCATGAAAATCAACATGCATTTTGCTCTAGTTATCAAAGTTACATGATATTCATGATTGGTTACTTGTTATTTATTTTATAGTTATTATATAGGAACAAAAGAAATAATGTGTGAAACAAGAGTTGGATTTCAACTGTGTGCGTTCCTAGGAGCCTCAATCATTTTAAATGAAAGAAGTTTGGAACAAGTAGGGTTCTCCATAGTCAGTTATTTGCCAAACTGAATAACACAAGAAGGACCTTACTCAGGGAGTAATGGTCACTCTAACTCAAACTGCAAAGGATTAGTAACAAAAACTGAATATGGACAAAATAATGAATATGGGTTGACCACTTAATGAATAGAATGAATATGAATGAATGGAAAGCAACAGCTGCCAGAAAACATCTGCAGCACCGTGCCATGCTTTGGTAAATGGATGGTTAAAATGTGAAGTATAAATGATTCCTTTAAAATTTTAAACATACTGGTTTGGTCATTTAAATGTATTTAGCTACAATGTTCTAGTATTATAGATAAGACAGAAATCCCTACTAAAAGTATTCGGTACAGTATATGTTGGTGTCAGACACCTGCATTTCAAATTTCACGAATCATATGTAAATCTGTTCAAACGCAAACACACAAAATGTTCCTACTGACCAATCAGTATTCCTCATAGTGTGTGGTATGAAGTTCAAAGCTCCAAACAAACACACTGGCGGATTATTGATTCAGGGAGATGCCAAATTCATCTGCTGTTGAAAAGTCGATGGTGATGCACGTGGCAGGGGTGAGTGCTACTGCCGTCTGTTCTGTTGCTACACTGTCATCTGCACATTGGAGCCTGTCGACAGCATTTGAATACTGAATGTGTTTGGGCTTCTTTCACCCATCAGGGTCAGGGTGGAGTGGCTTTTAACACAGGAAGGTCAAACGGCAATTTGAAACTGCAGTTGACAATATTTCATGCAAGTTGAATTTTCAGAGCTGAATCTGAAAATCAAGAGCTGCTATTTCCCCTGTGTGATTGTGTAAATGTCAAACTATTAATTTTGAAGTGGGGTATTTAAAACCAGCTCAGTAAATGATGACAAATTGACCATGAAAGACAACTTAACCGATCACAATCATGAGATCATCACATTAGCCAATGATAATCTAATTAGAATGTACTGAAGTACAAGTACACCCGAAGAACACTGCTCAGATGATTTTCATTGACGTTCATTTCTTAATGTGAACTTTATTTATTTGTTTGGTGTGGTGGGGTGGGTGTTTGGGGTGGGACATGGGTGGGGGCGGTAGAGGAAATTGCATAGATGTAAAATGTAGGTCACTACCCTTTCTTAGAATGGATTTATTGATGGTTGTAGTTTGTTATCGTTGATTATTTCATGAAAAAAATAAGTCCTAATTTACAAGTCACATGTACTTAAGTTGTAATATTTGAACTTAAAGGGGAGTGAGCGTGTTTACAATTTTGTGTATTGCCTGTTCTTGTTTTGTAAAGAAATAATCAAGATCTGATAATTAATTTCAGTAGACAAGCTGTTAAAGCTCTTTTTTTTTATATATACATGAGTGTTTCAAACTTTGGAAGAATAAAATGAATCTGACAAGTGCAGCTACAAATTCTTGCCTTAGAGGTTACAGAGGCCAAACTATC